TTTTTTTTTTTTTTTTTTTTTTTTTTTTTTTTTTTTTTTTAAGTCAAAGTCTCTCTATGTAGCCCAAGATGGCCCTTTGAACTTGGAATGATTACCTACTCAGTTTCACCTTACTGAATGCTGGGATTTTTAGGTGTATGCTGTAAGAGTTGCTTAGAGTGGCTAGAGAGATGGCATAGTAGTTAAATGCACTGACTGCTTTTGCAGAGGACCCAGATTCAATTCCAAGCACACACATGACATCTAACAACTGTCTGTAACTCCAAGTTCTGACACCCTCATACAAACATACATGTAGACAAAACGCCAATGTACATAAAAATTATTATTATTAGTTTTTTTAATGAAAGAGTTGCTAGAGGGATATATAGTTAGTTACCTACCTAGCAGGTACACAGTGATGCTTTAGGCTGAATACCATTTACAGGGCATTGTAGGGTTTTGCTAATGGATTGCCAGCCAAATTAAAGTTGTGTTTTTAAAACTAAACTTACGCTAGTAGATTAAATCTTAAACCTATTATATCTACGTTAACTTATATGTGTGACCGGTACCAGTGAGGTCAGAAAAGTGCATCAGATTCTGTGGAACTAGAGTTGGGATGTGGTGGTTGTGAGCCTCCCATGTAGATACTAGGAACAGAACTCTGCAAGAGCGATATCATCTCATTGCTGAGTGCATCCCATTGCTGAGCCATACTTCCAGCCCTTCTCTTTAATTTTTAGTTAATGGCTATAATCTTTTTTTTTTTAACTACATATCTGACTTTAATAAGTTTTAAGGTGTAGTAGTTGCTTTTCTATTGCTGTGTTAAAACTGACTCTACTAGGGCACAGAGCATGTCCCCTATAAACTTCCTGTGAGACAGCTTTTCTGCCTCCTGTTCCTAGGTTCTTCGTGGAGGGGCTAGCCAGCGTCCTTTAACCCCAAATCAGAACCAGCAGGGACAACAAACAGATCCCCTTGTAGCAGCTGCAGCAGTGAATTCTGCTCTTGCCTTTGGACAAGGTCTGGCTGCAGGTATGCCAGGTAAGGTTGTACTGATGTTTTTAATACTTTGCTGGGTCAAAAAAGTGTATGTGTGCTTTCAAGGAGAATGGGTATTGCTTTTGACTTGTCTGAACCTGTTATGATTGGGAACTGGCAGGGATGATACATACTTGCCCTCACTTAGACCTCTGGGTCGTTGACGAGAGCTTTGTTCTGAGCCAGTCACTGTTATCCTTCCATGTGAGAGATCTGTGAGTGTCGGCTGATTAGAGTGTGAGCTTTGCTAGCTGCCTCTTTAAGGGATATTCTTCAGTTTTGGTTTAAATACTGCTTGTGTATCCAAACATATAGGCCTATGGGGATTATTCTTTTCCAAACAGCCACAGTAGCTTAGAGTTATAGATTTTGGCAATTGGAATATGGAGATTTTATTCTCGCACACCAGCAGCCTCAGTGTCAGTACTCAGGCACTTCCTGCTGTTGTTAAGCAGGGAGCTTGTGACTTCAAGTACTGCAGCACCAATACTACTGAGACAGCTGTGGCTGATGGGCAGAGAGCATTTACAGGAGGCTAAAAATAGAGTGCTCTGAGATTTCGTCATGTCACTTAGAATGGCTGTGTGTGGTTTAATGTTTATAAATGTGTGCTTCAGGAATTTCCACCTAATACTTTGCATGATGGTTAAAACACTGGCAACGGAGACTGAAACTGTCTATATTTGTGTTCTGTTCTCTATCCCCAGGTTATCCAGTCTTGGCTCCTGCTGCTTACTATGACCAAACTGGTGCCCTCGTGGTTAATGCAGGGGCGAGAAATGGTCTCGGAGCTCCTGTTAGGCTTGTTGCTCCGGCTCCCGTCATCATTAGCTCCTCAGCTGCACAAGCAGGTGAGTTTTGTTTTGGAGAGGGAAATAATGGGTTGGGTGACTTAAAACAACAGCAGTCTTTCTGATAGGGTGTAATGTGCTTTATTTTGAAAATCTCAGCATAGTTTTTCTTACCCTGTAATATTTCAAAGAGAATCAGAACCTGCAAGGCAGTCTGGTAGATTCTAATTCTGTTGGTGGTTCTGTGCTACCTGGTTAGATATGTGGATTGGCACTTCGGATTAACAGACAGTGTTTTTTTTTTTTTTCAAGGTCTATGTCTGCCTTGATAATGTAGCAGTCAAAGATTCGGGTTTTTTTTTTTTTTTTTACAGATATCGCACAGTCTGTGAATATGACTAGTGTCTTTCTTTGCCTAATGGTTTTCTTTCTCACAGCTGTTGCAGCGGCTGCAGCTTCTGCAAATGGAGCAGCCGGTGGTCTTGCTGGAACCACTAACGGACCATTTCGACCTTTAGGCACCCAGCAGCCCCAGCCCCAGCCTCAGCAACCTAGCAACAACTTGGCTTCCAGCTCCTTCTATGGCAACAACTCTATGAGCAGCAACTCCCAGAGCAGCTCCCTCTTCTCTCAGGGCTCTGCCCAGCCTGCCAACACGTCCTTGGGATTCGGAAGCAGCAGTTCTCTTGGTGCCACCCTGGGATCGGCCCTTGGAGGGTTTGGAACAGCAGGTATAATTTAGACTAAGAAGCTGTTAAAATGAATTTGAATGAGTTTTGTAATCTTTCTGGAACCCTGACAGTGCATGACACCCTGCACAGATACCACAGGTAGTCTGGGTCAATCAAGGCCCTGGGAGTCTAGCCAGCCCACTTGACCTTTTGAGATGTTGGACTATAGACATTAAGTTATGCAACTGGACCTCTTTTAGTTTCATGCTCCTGTTGCTATTTACTTATGCTCACTTTGTCAGTATGTTTTTAGGCTTTGGAAACTAAAGAGAGGTTCTTCTAGGCTTTAGGAAGCTTGTGGATGTTAGGCCGAGAGAGAAGGAATTGCTGAAGGTCACAGGGCAGGGTGCTCCACATTCAGGATTTTGCCCGGGGCTTGGCTTGACTACCTTAATCCATTAGGGAGTTTCATCCCGTGTTTTGAATAATGTTAAGGGAGATGCTGTGGAACATTGGGAGGAAGGATGCTAGACCAAAATATTCTATTTTAATGGGAGAAAAGTGCAAGAATTTAGACTGGACAGTGGGATACTTGGAGTCCTTATCAGCAGTGTGATTTCAGAAGAGAAGGGCATGTCTGAGAGAAGGCAAACTAATTGGAGCTGTAGTCTTAGCCGCAGCTCCTGATGGAGCCCACCAAGACAACAGGCCTGCATAAGAAAGTCTTGTGTGGTAGGGCTGTGCTCTGCTTGCACATGTTTTTTCCGTATTCCGTTTTTCTGCCAGAACCTTTCAGCTGATGAAAGGCATTCCTTCTAGTTCATTTCCTTTCACTTCTCCCATAGCTCATGTGGCCGTCAAAGCTTTTTAACCTGCCCCCATCCCATAATATCTGTGACACTAAAGGAAGGTAAATTTGGCATATTTGTGTAACGGCTTGAATAATAGCTCTGTTAGCCCAAGCCATGTCCTCTTTATTTATTACCCTAGAACTGCTACATTAACAGTTAGGCTGTCTCTGCTGACACATTTGCGGTGGTAAGGAGTCTGGATCAAAGTGTTAGGAACAGGCCACTGGGCTTGTTCTTCAAAGAACAGGCCTGTTCTTATATGCATTGTTTTAATTCCATTTTAGTTGCAAACTCCAACACTGGCAGTGGCTCCCGCCGTGACTCCCTGACTGGCAGCAGTGACCTTTATAAGAGGACATCGAGCAGCTTGACCCCCATTGGACACAGTTTTTATAACGGCCTTAGCTTTTCCTCTTCTCCTGGACCCGTGGGCATGCCTCTCCCTAGTCAGGGACCAGGACATTCACAGACACCACCTCCTTCCCTCTCTTCACATGGATCCTCTTCAAGCTTAAACCTGGGTAAGAACCATTACTCTAACACCACCTTGAACGCTAGAAATCTCTTGCCACCGATGACATTACAAGTACTTTCTTTGCATAAGCAAAGGATACAAGTACTTTGTGGTCCCTCTATCCTAGAAGGTCCTGGTGTTCTGTGCCTTTGGTAAATACCTCAAGTTGCTCAGGTTGTACCTGTAGCTTCACAGCAGTTGGGGATTGCCTAGCATCTGGATACACTATGTGTATTCACTCCAGCTTCAGTGTGAACATTTTTCTCTTGGGCAAACACCGTAAACTTTATCCCAGCGAGCAGAAGGACACAGAAAAGCAAAATCCCGATCATAGCACCCATAATGACACCACACTGAACATGTTGCTTACTTTCTTTGTAGATTCCTCCCTCCCCTTTGTGTAAAAGTTAGTAGCTTGTTTTTTCACATAAAGCATTTCATTGAATTTTTTTTGCCAGATTCTTAAGTATTTATAAATGTGCTCCAAGCCTACCATCTCTTAATACCTGGATGTATATATTTTCACCTGTTATATATTATGTGTGGGATTATTAGAAGAGACATTGGGTTTCCAACAGCAGGCTTTAAGAATAATGGAAAAATTATAGTAGTACCAGGTAGGAGTGTAGCTTTCTTATCCAGAAACAGGGCATACTCCTCTTTCGTTTCTCAGGTATGGATTTCAAGGTTCTAATTTACTTCCCAGATGGGGAAAGTTAAATGAGAGAAGTGGAGAATACATTTTATGAGCAAATGGTGAGGAGAGAGCGTGCTGTTATTTTGTGTTGATGACTTTAAATGAGAGTGTCCCGGACAAATCATAAAGGATATGCTTACTAGAAGATTCTACCTTTGCCCAGCATGTTTAAATGTGGTTTCAGGGACTTGGCAGTGAGGACTGAGTTAAAGTGAATAGCATGATTTCATTTGGAGAGACATTTATACAAAACAAGAAAAGTTTTGATGACATCTATAGTAAATAGTTATTCTTATCAAAGAATGTTGTCTTTGAGTTTGAAGGCACGTTTTTCACAGCGTGTGTGTGTGTGCGCGCGCGCACGCGTGTGCATACCTGAATATGTATCAGAATGTGTTGTATTCTTATTGGCTGTCTACAGTGGACAGAAGAATGGACAGGACTTGTGGCACAGCAATGCTTCTTAGCAACAGAAAGCCTGGCTCCAGTGTAGGATGATCAGGAGGGAGGGTATAGGCTGAGAGAGGGAGGACTGAACATTGATTTTTACCCCTGGGGAACACAGTAGTAGGTAGCAGTATGTCATTCCACATGTGGGGAGCTTTCTCAGAGCTTGAGTACCTTTCCTTGCTTGTCTCAGAGTTGAACAGATTTTCTTTTTTCAAATTCTAAACCATGCATTTTCAATGCATATTCTAGTTACGTAATGCGCTCAGTATGTCTTTTTTTTTTTTAAGATTTGTTTACAGTGTTCTGTCTGCATGTGTGCCTGCAGGCCACAAGAGGGCACCAGAAATTTTTACAGATGTTTGTGAGCCACCATGTGGTTGCTGGGAATTGAACTCAGGACCTATGAAAGAACAATCAGTGTTCTTAACCTCTGAGCCATCTCCCCAGCCTCCCAGTATGTCTTTTGAACCAGCACATTAAAACTAATTCTATAAAGTTTTGTTGTGTGTTGTTGGTGCTGTTGCTAGTTTGTTTTGTCAATATTTTTAGTTTTTAGATTTTTTTAAGAACTGGTTGGTGTTTTACCTGCATGTGTGTTTCTGCACCCCTTATGTCTCTCATGTCCAATGAGGCCAGAAGAGAAGGTCAGATCCCCTGAAACTGGAGGTAGAAACAGTTTTGCATCACTATGTGGGTGCTGGGAATCTACCCTGGGGTCTCCAGAAGAGCAGCCTGTGCTCTTGTCTGCTGAGCTTTCTCCTACCTGGCTGTCTTCTAATTAACTAGTTTTTTGATTGTTTGTTTGTTTGTTTGTTTTTAAGGTGACGGTTGTATCCTGTGGTTTATAGTTTTTCAACTTCTGAACTTAGTGCAATGACTCTGGGTGTTCATACTGAGTCTGAAAATGCTACATGCGGGTGACCTTTTCTCTTTTCAGGCTATCTGCATTCACAGTTAGACTCAGGAGTCATTATCAATTAGACCATTCTGAGAAAGCAGTTGACTTGCCTAGTATTTATTTCTGTGTGCCTAAGAACCCTCAGCGGCCATTTGTTTCTATTTGTTTTGAGTACATTTCATGTATTCTGTAGAATAAATTTTTCTGGCTGTAAGTTGTGTGGATGTCAGGCTAAAACTTATAATATTTACAACCTTTCTTACCTGTTTGCAGTTAATCCTGATCTTAAATGCAATTAATGATTAATTTAATTTGCATTTTATTTTCTCTTTTAAATTGGTCTGAATTTAAAATATAAATTTAAATATAAATAGGCCAATAGATAGTTCCTTCTTATTAGACCATTTTCCGTTTTTGTGGACCTTTTGTCCTACTGCTCACATTTCATAGGTATTTGTTCCTGTTTAGGGTTACACATAATACAGCTATGACTATTGCAATGCCAGAGTTTCCGTAGATGTGTGTTTCTCTAGGAGTAGATTGTGTGTGAGCTTTATGATCAGCCTTTTCTTTCTGCTTAGATATGATCTTACTCGGTAACTCTGGCTGGCCTGGATCTCACAGATCTGCCTGCCTCTGCCTCTCAGGTGCTGGGTCGCATTCAACTTTTCTTCTAAGAAACTGTAGGTTGGTGTGGTTGATGGTTTCACTTCTCACCAGAAGTTTACAGTGATTCCAATGGCTCTACTTCCTCAGTTACATTTTTGGTCTGATTTGATACAACTTTTTCCATGGGCATGGAATAGTATTTCATGGTAGTTTTATTTTCATTTTGCCACTGACATGTTATCCTAGATCATTTTTGGGAGGAGGTTAAGACAAAGACTTACTGTAGTCCAAAGCTCTCCAGGTTTGTAATCTTCCTGCTTCAGCCTCCCAAGTGCTTGTTTCATATGTTCTGGCTTTAGAGCATTGTTTTATGTGCTTATTATTAATCTTTAGCTATCTTTGAAATCTCCTTGTGTGTTTTTCTCGTTCAAACCTTTAGCTTACAGAACTGGAGAGGTGGCTTAGCGTTTGAGAGAGCTGATTGCTCTTCCAGAGTTACCCGGGTTCAATTCCTAGCACCCACATGGCAGCTCACAACTGCCTGTAGCTCCAGTTCCAGGGGATCTGGTACCTTCACAGACATAGATTCAGGCAAACACCAATGTGTATTAAAAAAAAAAAAAGTAGAAAACCTTTGGCTTACTTGAGTTATAAGTTTTTATGTTCTCATCTTTTACTTCTCCCATTTTAGAAACAGTGTCTTTAAAGTGTGTCACGTTTTAATTTTGATAATGTTTACTTGAATGAATTTTTGGTTATCCTAGAAATACTTTCCTAACTCTAGGCCTTGAATACAGTTTCCTATCATCTGAAAGTTTTATTGATTTTTTTTTTTAAAAAAGATTCATTTTTATAATTTTATATTATGTGTAGGTGCATGTGAGTGCAGGCACCCTCAGAGCCCACAATCACTAGATCCATGGAGTAGTTCTTTGGGAGAGTAACAAGTATTTTATCCTCACGTTTTATTGTTTTAACTCCTAATTTAATGTGTTCATTTTGAGTTAATGCTGTCATCTTGTGTGGTAAGGGTTCATTGATCTTGGCTGTGGGTGTCTATTTGTTCCGGTACCTTTTTATAATTTAATTTAACTTTTTATTTCATGTACATTGATGTTTTGCCAGCATGTGTCTTTAAAAAAAAAACTTCAAGAGGGTGCCAAACCTCATTTTTATTGGTCATTTAGTAGATGCATTTCTTTTTTTTTTTTTTTTATCTATTAAAATTTCCTCCTCCTCCCCCTCCCCCTGTGTCTTTCTTTGTAAGGGAGGCAGAGCCTCTGGAAAAGATAGTTGTGAGCTGTCATGTGGTTGCTGGGAATTGAACCCCGATCCTCTGGAAGAGCAGTCAGTGCTCTTAACCACTGAGCCATCTCCTTAGCCCATCCAGCACAATATTTTTACGGTCTGTGTCACCCCCCCCCCCCAAAAGTGTGTAGTTTGCAGTGTGTGGTTTAGATGCTGCTCTGAATGGAATTGTGCTCAAATTTAGGGCGATTTTGTTATCAAAATACAACTGAGGTTTGTATGCTGGTTTTAACCAGAAAACTCATTATTTTGTTTATTCTAATGATTTTAGGTACATTTCCAGGGCTTTCTATATAATAGGACAGAGAAGAACATATATTTTGTCTGTATTCCTTGTCTTGGGGATAGTGTTTATTTGCCCTAAAGTTTGGTGACAGTTGATTATTGTAATGGACATTTCATGAGGCTGAGAAAGCCTCCCACAATTACAAACTGAGTTTTGTTGTGAATAGGTTTTGATATTGCCGTGTGCTTTCTGTCTTTGTTGATACGGGGTTGCTGCTCATCACCGTCTTTGTGGTTGATGTGGTATTTCTCAATTCTTTGTTTATAGTGTTTGGAGGAAAACAACCTGGTGCTGGGAGGCACCTCAGTGGTAGAGCTTTTGGCTAGCATGCATAAGACCCTGATGGCAGCCTACTGAATGGCAGGGGAAAAAAAAAATTAAGACATGAACCAAGCTGGGTTTGGTGGTTCACACCTTTAATTCCAGCACTTGGGAGGCAGAGGCAGGTGGCTCCCTGAAACTGAGGACAGCTGGGGTTACATGGAGAAGCCATACCTTTGCAAAACCACAACGAAAACCATGTGAACTGTAAGAATGATTGAAAAGCAAGTGTTCCTGTTAACTTATATGCTACTTTGTGCTTATGTGCACGTTGTCAGTTGGAGCCCAGTGCTACCCTCGTGCATAACCTCTACCACTGATCCACACTCCAGCAGTGTTTTACTTTTTGTTAAGCCCTTTGATCATAGTTCTGTCTTACCTGTTTAGGGCCACATATTTATACCACATTCGCCAAACAGAGCAGCAGTGCAAGTAGCATGGAGAATCTTTATTGTTGCATAGTGTCAGGCATTGTCCTGTGGAAGTTGTTAACAGCTGCCCACTGATGAGGACCTTGAAAACCAGCCCTCTGCCTTAGATGCGAGCTTTCCAAATGATTCTTCAAAGAACAGCTTCCCAGAGTTTCCTGTGCATAAATTCCTTCTCCTTACAGCAAAAGCAAGTGCTTTCTCTACCCCTGAACTATCCCCCTTGTGTTTGTGCTGATCTTAAAGGGGGGACTTGAGCTGGGAATGAAGGTTATTTAGGAATGGAGTGAGTCCCTGTAGTGCTGAGTTGACAAGCTCAGAAGCCTCAGTGTGCTTTGCATTTCCTGAGTTCTTACTGCAGGTGCTCTGCCCCATTTTACTTATTAAGGACATACAATGTATTGCTCCATTCTTTTTACTTGATTTCATTTTCTCCTTTTTAGGTAGTGCTGGGAATTGAACCCAGGGCCTCACTTATGCTAGCAAGTGCTCCATCTTTGAGCTGTATCCCCAGTACTACAGCACCAATTTTGCTATCAGTGGTTAAAGCAAAACAACCACCAAACAAACAAAAACCCCAAATAAATACTTCTTTCTCAATCTTTATGCAAATGTTTTCTTCCAGATTGGTAAGTGGGCCTTATGAAAGTCACAGTAGTAGTAGAATTGTCTGATCGTAAACAGTGGCATGGAAGAAGTGAGGTCATACAGGCTTGTGGAGGGGGGCAGGAGGGGGTACTTTTTCCTTTTAAATGAGGTTCCCCTAAACATGGACTCAGGTTTTTCTGTTCTGTAACCAACAGGAGGACTCACAAATGGCAGTGGAAGATACATTTCTGCTGCTCCTGGTGCCGAAGCCAAGTACCGCAGTGCAAGCAGTGCCTCCAGCCTCTTCAGCCCTAGCAGCACTCTGTTTTCTTCCTCTCGGCTGAGATATGGGATGTCTGATGTCATGCCCTCTGGCAGGAGCAGACTTTTGGAAGATTTTCGAAATAATCGGTACCCTAATTTACAACTACGGGAGATTGCTGGCCATATAATGGAATTTTCCCAAGACCAGCATGGGTCTAGGTAAGGACCTGGCTTTGGTAACAGCATATCTGAGATTTGTACCTTAAATTCCATTTCTCAGATAGGTATATATCTCATCATAAAAACATAGTACCTTTTGTGATTCACAGTATGCCTTTGCTGTGCCTCCTAGTGTCTTATTTCAGAGGGATATGGGCTTGGGACAGCCTTCAAATATTTCAAAAGAACTTTTATTTATCTGGACGATGGACTTTGAGCAAACTCTTTACATTTATGAGCGCGTAGCCTGTGTTTCTAGAATCTCTTAAAGTACTGCTGTTTGCCACTGGGCATGGTGGTACATACCTACAATTCCAGTACCCAAGAGGCAGACTCAGAATTGCCACAAGTTCCGCCATCTTGGTCTACACTAAGACCGTGTGTGTGTGTGTGTGTGTGTGTTTTAAAGATTTATTTATTATGTATACAACGTTTTGCCAAGTATGTCTGCACGCCAGAGGAGGGCCCAAATCTTCTTACAGATAGTTGTGGGCCACCATGTAGTTGCTGGGAATTGAACTCAGGACTTTTGGAAGAGCAGCCAGTACAATTAACCACTGAGCTATCTCTCCAGCCCAGGACCCTGTTTTATATACACCACCACCAAAAGTTGTACCCGGCTCTATAGTTGAAGAAACTGTCTTCCCGGGAAGCCCTGTGCATGCCCTGCAGTAACATCTGTTCTAGAGGAGACAGACACTGTCACATGATAATGTAGATTCCCCAGTTCTTAGGAGCACTTGCTCTCATCCCTTCTCTAGAAGGGAGAGCTCCCGGAAATCTTTGCTCTAAGAGCTCCTCTAGAGGTACACATGGGGTTTAGGGACCCAGCAAAATGAGATGCTATCACTCACTCCTTGCCCTTCTCATATCTGTTGTGGTTTTTCTTCCTCTCTATGTTCAGGGAAATTCCTAATGGTCTCCCTGCTCTGTAGCTTTTGCTAGCTACCTCCTCTGAGGAGTGGAGGCCAGGTACAGAGGCAGCAAGGTTTTCCTATGTGGTCACCCGACTGAGTTAACTGAGTAAGACTATTTCAGACACTAAAGAATGCCTCTCTTGGCAGATAGAATGTATAGAATAGAGTGAGGACCATGAGCCTTAAGTATTCAATGAGGGACTGTTTTCTAAAGATCAGTGTTAAGCAGAGCTGGTGCTTTCGTATATGTGCCATCCTGTAGTGCAGCACACTAGAACAGGAATACAGTTTTGAAAGTTGGACTGTGTTAGGGGAATTCCCCCTTTCAGAAATCTTTTCTCTGAGAGCTTGAGATTGATTTAAATAGCCCAGCAGCCCGGCATGATGATGCATCTCTTTAATCTCAGCATTCAGGAGGCAGAGGCAGGAGGATCTCTGTTTTCTAGGCCAGCCAAGTCTTCATTGTGAAACCCTATCTAAACAAACAAAACTCACTGCACTTATTGGGCACACGGGCCGCATGTTGTAGAGTTGATCTAACAAGTGATGCCCTTCACACCTTTGCAAATCATCTCTGTGTGTGGTTTGATTGCCCCTTCACTCTGTTCTTCAGATTCATTCAGCTGAAACTAGAGCGTGCCACAGCAGCTGAGCGCCAGCTTGTCTTCAATGAAATCCTCCAGGCTGCGTACCAACTTATGGTGGATGTGTTTGGAAATTACGTCATTCAGAAGTTCTTTGAAGTATGTCTTTGTTCTTTCTGCCCTTTCACTTTGAGAATCTCCAGAGCATTTGATTTCTGTTGACTTTTTGAAGCACAGCTGTTCATTTCAGCCTTTAAAATGAACTGATAGGGTCTTGAAAAGATTTTTCGTTTTTCTCCAGTTCTTTATCCATGTTAAATGCCCATCCAGATGTGCTCTGGAGGTATGGTTTAATAATTGTCTCTATGTGGGGCCCAGTCTGGGCTTGAACTCACAGAGATCCACCTGCCTCTTCTCCTGTCTTCCAAGTGCTGGGGTTAAAGGCACGCACCACCATGCCTGGCCTAAAGAGAGTGTTTTTTTTGTTTTTTATTTGCTTGTTTTTTTTAAATCATGTTTATTTATGAGGGGAAAGGGTGCCTAAGGAGGCCTGAGACATTGGATCCTTTGAAACTGGAGTCAGTCCATTGTAAACTGCTTGGTGGGTGCTGGGAATCAGACTCGGGTCCTCTGAAACACAGAGTGATGCTTGTTCTAACCACTGAGCACTGCCTCTCCCGCCTCCAGCACAGTGGTTCAGAGGCTTTAGCAGAATTACAGTAAGACATGGTGGGAGTGAGGACTTGGCTTTGTACACCAGGCTCAGTGATTCCATTGCGGCCTGGAGTTGTGTCTCTGGGGGGCTTCTTTTGGTCTTAGCTCCTTCTTTTGCCCATTAACTTGGGTCATGGAAGTACATTAGTGATGAAGAATGTCTGCTTTCTCTAATGACTTAACATTTCAAAGACTTGGGATTTATTTTTATTTTCTATTTTTATGTTGTTAATATTGTTGTCGTTTATTTATATTTATTAACAATGTTTACCATTGCCAGCAGCTTCAAGCTGTTGGATGTCCCAATAAATTGAAAGAACCAGGTGTGAGGACAGTGGAATTCTAAGGTTATCTGCAAATAAAGAAATCTACAAATTTCTTCTGGCTCTTATTTGTGAAATGGTTTTAGAGTTGCTTTCTCAGACTTTACCTGCCAACTTTCCTCACAGACACTTAGTTCTCCAGCTTGTGTCTCTTGATTCTGGACTGTCTCTGCTCTGCTATTTTGTCACTGATACTAAAGTGCTGTAGCATGTGCAGCTTGGAGTGTCAGAACAAATGTGATGTGTGACCATGTGATTGGGAACAAGCCAAAGAGCCTCACTAGACAGTCCCATGATGGTTCTAGTCACACAAGAGCAAAGAGGATGCAAACCAGCCCTTAGGAAAACACTGTATATTGTAACCTTTTGGATTTCTTAGCTTCTCCTTTCAAAGGCTTCCTGTTTAATAGCAATAGTCCTGGAAAGACATCAATTCATAAGAATGTTGTGTGTACTTGACTTGCATTTGGCAGACTAACTTAAGTGAAAGGGCTTGCCAGCCCAACCTTCCCTTGTCCACGGGCTGCCCTATTCAGCACAAGTTAGCACATCATTTCTAGGCATGTTGAGCCTTGAAGCCAGTCCCATCTCTGCTGCTGGTTTTGGAATAACAGGATATGGCTCCTTCCATTTAGAAGTTAATGCCTAATTCTTTAGGGCATTAAATATTTTTTTGCAAGATGACCAAGACAGGGCTGAGCATTAAAGAAAGTTCCTCAGGTCAAAGCTTTAGGGAACAATGGCTTTTTAAAAGGCGTTGTTGACCCTAGGAAACAGGGCAGCAAGAAGTTGAGGCTGGACACAACACAGGTTACAGAAAACTTTTGTTTTCTCTGGTCTTTCTTCTTTATTTATGTAATGGTGTCTCTCATATTATGTCTAGTTTGGCAGTCATGAACAGAAGCTAGCTTTGGCTGAGCGCATTCGAGGCCACGTCTTATCATTGGCACTGCAGATGTATGGCTGCCGAGTTATCCAGAAAGCTTTGGAGTTTATTCCCTCAGACCAGCAGGTAATTGTAAGTTTCCTTTTCAGTTTTCTCTCAGTGTTTCTCTGTGCTGCGTGCAGTGCACTGTGGAAAATGTCAGTGTGGAGTCTCTTTGCTAGGTTATGTGGGTGCTTGTGGCTGTCCATCTGCAGAGCAAGCAGGATTTGCCCAGTTTGCAAGTTTCTAGTGAATCTGGTGTTTTGTGTGAAAGAGTTTACAGCATCATCTCTTTGACCAGTGAGTAGCATGAGTAACTGCAGTTTTACAAGGAGGATGTAAACACATAAAATGCTGCTTAGCATTCTCCTCAAGTAGCACTAAACTTTCCAAGAAACCTGAAGTGAGGTTCAGCTCACTTGCAATCTCATTCACCATCCCTCTTGTTCACTGATCACTTGCTCGGGCCTGCTGTCAGTGGGTGACATGGTGATGGCAAAGGCCTAGCTGGTCCTTGCTGCTGTCCATGGAGGAGGCCCTCACCCAACCCATGCAGAATCAAGGCCAGGGATAGTTAGACAGGAGTAAAGAAACAGAGGCCCAAAAAACTAGCTGCTGTGAGTGGGGGTTGATAGGGGAGTCATCCAGGAGCCCCACAGGCAGGGAAAGCACATTGCAACTGCTTGTGCCAGGTGGTGCCAAGGCCTCTGGCCTGCACCCCTCAGCCTCTGTGTTCTGAGCTCCCCCCGCCTTCTCAGCGGAGGGGTTGCTGTTGTCTGGCAGTGATGACCCACTTGCCCTCACTGAGGACAAAGTCCGATAATGAGAATCTTTATTATGGACTCGTTCTGAGCCAGGCAGAATCCCACCAGCTCTGATTCAAACCCATTGAACTACCAGCCAGTGGTGCAGATGGTGGCAGTTGAAGGTTGGTGGAGCTCAGGGCACTTGGGGTGTGTCTTATAGCTAGGCTCTTGAAGATACTGTGAAGTGGGTGAGGTTAGAGACATAGCTCTGTGCCTGACTTGGAGCATTGAAAAGACAACACTGTCTAGCTGAGTGTAGAGGTACATAGTGATCCTAACACTTTGGGAAACAGAACCCCAAGTTTGAAGCCAATCATAGAAGGCTAGTTAGGAAGACCCTACCCCCAGTCTCTAAGAAAGGTGATATTTGTATTGACAGAAAGATCCAAGGCTAGTTTTCGTTGTTATCTATTATTCACTGAGATGTTATAAATTTTAATGACCACATTATTGTGGCTTTTTGTTGTTGTTGTTACTGTTTTCCCCACATGGAAGGTTTTTTCTCTTGGATCATAATGGCTACTTAGTAAAAGAAAATAGCTGCTCTGACCCTTTCTATACTTCTCTCCTTCCCTTCCTCACTAGCAAGTTGTCTTTTTCCAGGCTCTATTGCTCTTCCCACCCTCTCTGTCCGTCTCCCCAACTCTTCCTCATTACTTTTACGACAACACTTTGGGTTAAAACCAGGGCTTTTTACAGGTTGGGTGTGTGTCCTGCCACTGGCCTTGGAAGTCTCCTGCCTAAGGTGGCTTCCTGAGCAACTGAGTCATGGGTTTGTGCAGAAAGGCAGGGAGCTCTTTCTTATATTTTCCTTTCTCTGGTCCAGTTCCTCTGGTGCCTTGTTCTGAGTTTGGACTGTTCTGCTGTGGACTGTATATTTTGTTTTAGGAGATGAATTTTATCCTTTCTATGTCTCCCAGGCAGATGGTTCTTCTCTCGTGCTATGTTAGTAAGTGTTCTTTTGTGATCATGAATGTCTTCTGTTAGCTGACATTTCAGTTACTCTGGAGTCAGTGCCTCCGGGATTCACTCACACTACTGTTCATGAAAGGTGCCTAGGTAAAGTTGCCTGTGGCAGTCTAGCACAAATACAGAGGAGCACAGAGAAGTTAAAGCCCAGATGAAATCAGTAGGAAAATGGGGAGCCAACTCCTGCCCAGCCAGGTTCAGCATTTCACTTTAGGTGTTCTGAGGCTGGGAGTCTCAGGGAAAGATTCCAGTCAAAATCTAATCTGGTTCCAGTACATACCCTGACACATACTGCTTTTGCACTTTGTCTACTTACAGTCTGTATTTGCTATTTGGACACATTAATGAACTGGGAAAAACCATTTCTGCCGACTTTAATCAATGCGCCTTGGTGGAAAAATCACAAGACACTGGTAGTCACAGAGTGACTGCTCTGAAATTGTATTCTGTGGCCCTTTGTGTTTCCCTCTGTCCTTTGATGCTACTAAAGGAAGCTGGCGGGGGCACTCTTGGAGACATGTGCTCCCCATTCCTAGGCTAACCGAGAACCTCTAGGTTCTCCAACAGTCATCTCTAGGAATTTACCACCACCGCCACTTCCTCTGTCTCTATAGATTTAGTTTTTGGTGTTTTGGGCTTTTTTTACTCTATAGACTAGGCAGGCCTAGAACTCAGTTTATATCTCAGGCTGGCCTCAAATTTGAGGCAATCCTCCTGCCTCAGCCTCTTAAGTGTTATAATTACAGGGTTGAACCATCATTGACTTTCCTATAATTAATTTTATTCATTTATTCATTCATTCATTCATTTATTCATTCATTCATTTTTTTTTTTTTTCTTTCCGATACAGGGTTTCTCTGTGGCTTTGGAGCCTGTCCTGGAACTAGCTCTGTAGACCAGGCTGGTCTCGAACTCACAGAGATCCGCCTGCCTCTGCCTCCCGAGTGTTTCCTATAATTTTAATTATGTGACTTTGCCTGTAACTTCTTTTGTTGCTGGGAGGGCCGCGTGGGATTATATAATTGACAGGTTGTTTCCCAGCGAATCCTGGCTGCATCATTGCTGGCAATTGCTTGGGTTTGAGGCTTCACAGTGTAGGTCTTTTTGAACAGGCTTTGTAATTCGTCTGCTCCGTGGCTGCCTAACATGATCTGTTGGGTGGAACTAAAGTACTCCCAGTTCTTGGAGTTATTTCTCACCTGGGCAAATTCTAGATCAACCCTTCATATTCGTGTGTGTGTGTGTGTGTGTGTGTGTGTGTGTGTATGAAGCTTACATGATTGTCAGAATATGACAATATGACAGTGTGATGAATCATATATTATCAATCCTGTGCATTTCATATAGGTGTTTTTCTATTTGAAGATGATGATAGTAGTTTTTCATTCTCACACATAGCCCAGGTCAGCCTTGAACTTTCTCTGTAGATAAGGCAGACCTTGAACTCATGGTCCTCCTGCCTCCCTCTCCCTAGTGCTTAGATCACAAGGTGTATCACTAAAAACATTTTTAAAATAGGACTTATAGGTAGCATAGGATATGTGTGGCATGTGTTGTGTGGCAGCTCCAGTTCTGTCTTACTTCCTGAGACTTGGAGTTACAGGTGTGCTCCACTACATCTGGCTGGTGTGAATATTTTTAGAGTCTCAGCAAGCCTTTTCCAAGTTTGATATCTTTTAGGTCCCACTTGTTTTCTCTTGCTTTGTTGTTGCATGACTATAGTTGACTTAATTTACTTTGATTGCCATATATCTGTGCAGTGCTTTGCTGCTTGGTAGGGTGTGGGGATTGTCTGGGTGTTGCTGGCTATGATTCTGGTGTTGCCTTTTCTCTTTGTCTCCCATAGAATGAGATGGTACGGGAGCTAGATGGCCATGTCCTGAAGTGTGTAAAAGACCAGAATGGCAACCATGTGGTTCAGAAGTGCATTGAATGTGTACAGCCCCAGTCTTTACAGTTTATCATTGATGCATTCAAAGGCCAGGTAAGTAACTTGGGTTCATGTCATCAGCGTCCATCTCATACATAGTGCACTCTGCAGTCAATTTCAGTGGTGTCAACCTGGCCCTGTTAACAGGTCTCCTCCCTTCACTCTCGGGGAGTCTGTCATGGAGTACATAGCTAGCAGCAGACCTGTTTAGCTGAATTTAATATTCGGAGGATTATTTTTACATGGATAGCTATTATTCCTATCTGTCATCATCAGTCTATCATCACACAAGACCCTTACTTTACACCCCTCCCGGCAGGGGTCCTTTGTGTATCCCTGATTATTCTGAAACTAGTTCTGTAGACCTGGCCAGCCTCAAACTCACCGAGGGCTGGTGTTAAGGCGTGCATCATCGCTGCCTGTCAATCTGTCGCTTTCTCATGCTGTCACTTTTCTGAGTGCCTCTAAGTTAGGGTAATTGTTAGTTTGTTTGCCACAAATAATACCGTCCCACCTTGGGGAAGTTACTGGGACAGAGTGGTAAAACAAAATTCCTTTTTAGGTATTTGAATCTGGACTCTGGATTCTTTTGGGCATATGAATCTGAAGTACTGTTCAGTTTAAGTGGAAGCATGATTTAGAATTCTTTCAGAATGGGGATTCCCACATGGTTGAGAAGAGTCAGAACTTAGGGGTTATTGGGAGTTTCAGGATTAGTAGAGCAGAGGGTGGCACATTCATTCACTGAGACGCTATATTATTGGAGCTGGAGAGGTGGCTCAGTGGGTAAGATCACTTACTGCTTTTGCAGGGGACCTGGATCCATCACCATTCATTACTATATTTATTTGTAACTAGTTCCAGGGGATCAGACTCCTCTTTTTGGCTTTGGTGGGGCACACACACATAATAAAATCTTTAAAAAGACATTAAATAAAATGTACAGCAAAATTAAAACAAAGGAAAAAATGATTGTCCTGCTTTTTTGAGGGAGTGATGAGGAGCTAATGGGATAGCCATGCACTCTACCATTGAGTTCTGTCTCCAGTCCAGGAGTTGAATGTTATCTTGTTGAACCTGTCAAAGTGTTGGCAGCTAGATTAGATAAAGAACTCCTACAATCAAAGGAAACGATAGAGGTGGGGGCAGATGAGCCAAAGGTGAATTAATACTTTACAGAAGCACAGATTAGCAGTTGATAAGAAAAAGTCTATTCTATTAGTTAGGAAGAAAGTACAAAATGAGGCTCAGAAACAGAGAGTTCCTACCATGTAGTGCAGCATTTCTGCTTCAGGAATGTGCACCAGCCACTTGGTTAACTAACCAGTATCTTCTTAGATTTCAGAATTTGTATTTCTTTGATCCAGTACTTTGGTCTAGCTAACATTTGTATCTGGTGAAATACCCACTTAGCATGTTTTAAACTGCTGAACAGTTTCCACATAGAAGTAAAAAATAAAAATTAGGGGTTTTGTTGTTGTTGTTTGTTTGTTTGTTTCTCCTTTTCCCGAGACAGGGTTTCCCTGTGTAACAGTTTTAGCTGTCCTGAAACTAGTTCTTGTAGACCAGGCTGGCTTCAAACTCACAGGGATTCACCTGCCTTTGCCTCCTAAGTGCTGGGATTGAAGGCGTGTGCCATCACCTCCCGGCTGAAAAATAAAAAATTTTTAAAAAAGGGGCTGGAGAGACTCTTCAGCATTAAGAGCACTGACTGCTCTTCCAGAGGACCTGGGTTCAATCCCCAGCACCCACATGGCAGCTCACAACTGTCTGTAACTTAAGTTCTAGGAAGTCTAACACCCTCACAGATATAAACAGACAAAACACCAACGCACATAAATAATTAAGCAAACAAGCAAGCAATGCAGATGTCTGGACCAAAGTTTAGGTTTAGAAGTGCCATGCTTTGCCAGCAGCATGCCTGGAAAACGTTCTAGACATGCAGTGAATGCTTAGAAGTGTTTTTGGAAATGCATTGAGTGGAATAAACTGCTTTAGACCATGAACAGGCACAGTGTCTTTTCAAAGCTCACCTTAAGTAGCAGGTGCAACCATAGGGCCCTATAGCAAATGAGAGGACAAACACTTGGTCTACTAATTGACACTCGAGGTCCACAGCACTCACCTCATGTGAGATGTATTATTGTTCTTCAGAGTCTTTTTTTTCCCTTGGTGATTTGAGGTAGACTCCTGAACCTCATGATCCTCCTGTCTTGGTTTTCTGACTGCCAGGATTAAAGGCATTCACTGCTGTCTCCATTGGAGTATATTTCCTTACATCTAGGAAAGGCCAGAATCAAGATTGGGTGTGTGGGCTGAGGAAGCAGCTCAGTGGTGGGACACTTTTTTTTTTATTCCTCTTAAACCTAACAGTGCCTCAGCCAGCCTTGTGTGTAACTATGTGTTTGTATGAAAGCATTCATATATGTTCTCTGCTCTTTGTGTTGTGTCTCCCTATGCTGAATGTTGTCAGCCTTTGTCCTTACAGGTTCAGATGAGCACTTTATCAATGACCTCTCTGTAGCTTTCTTTTTGTTTTGTGTGTGTGGTTTCCCCCACCCCCCCTGTTATTGAGGCAGGGTCTCAGCTGTGTACCTCTTGTCTTCCCTGAAGTAGATCCCTGTCTCTGCCTCTAGAGTGCTGGGATTAAAGGTACTGGCACACTTTCTCTTCCTCCTGTTTTTCATACTATGTTTTGGAAAGGCAGTTGGTTGACATTCTTGATTCATTTTTAATTTTTCATGACAAGATTTCTCTGTGTAGCTCTGGCTGTCCTGGAACTCACTTTGTAGACCAGGCTGACCTTGACTTTAGAAATCTGCCTGCCTCTACCTTCGGAGAGCTGGAATTAATGATGTATGCCACCACTGTCTGGTGACGCTCTTGATTCTTGACTAAGTGGATTTTTTACTACCTTAACTCCTTTTCTGATTTATTTTTAGACTTCTTGGAAGAGTTCATTTTTGCTAATTTATACACATATATGAATTCCTAAAACAACCCAGGAAATAGTTTATTAGCTCATGGTGGGTTAAACTTATCTGTGAAGCAGAGGAGTGGGGTAATAAAGTAACAATACTGTCTTGGATCTTTCTGCTCCAGGTATTTGCTTTGTCTACTCACCCTTATGGCTGCAGGGTGATTCAGAGGATCTTAGAGCACTGTCTCCCTGACCAGACTCTCCCTATCCTTGAGGAGCTTCACCAGCACACGGAACAGCTTGTGCAGGTACTACTGCAGACCCTTATGGGCTCTTGTAGGCCCAGAGTGTGTGTTTTGTTAGCAGAAAGTATCAACATATCATCAGTGTACTTCAGATCTTTGGAGCTTGTGTTCATCACAGCCCAGTTTGTGGTTCATGAAAAATAGGCAATGATTTGAAGCCCTGACCTCTGATTTGGAGTCTGCATTTAATTGTGTACCTCTGGGTCTCTGCTCCATTGGTCACACAAGCCAAGTGTACTAGTTGATTCTTCTTTTGGGATTTGCTTCTATTGCTGATAAAATAATGAATCCTGATTGTTTTGTTGGATGCAGATCTCCAGAAAGATGCAAGCAAACTTTTTGCAACTTCTATTCTAATAGGAAACATTTTTTTTCCCAAACATTCCTTCCTCCATTCTGAAATAATTATAGTCCTACTTTCTTGTGAAGAAGTTAGCTAGGAAGTAGGTGTATAAATATATAAAGAGAAATAATCTGTAGTCTAGTAACAATGTGTTCTCGTTTTATAATGAGAGGGAATAATTTTACTCCTGTCCATTTTAAAAATTGTTGCAGGTTCCTTCACCCTTAGATAAACTGTCACAGTGCTACATGAGTGATATATATTAATTATATGGAAGACCTAGTAACCTAGAAAACTGTTATTTATGTATATTTTCTTTGTTTTGTTGCTTCTCAAATAGGATCAGTATGGAAATTATGTAATCCAACATGTACTGGAGCATGGTCGTCCTGAGGATAAAAGCAAAATTGTAGCAGAGATCCGAGGCAATGTACTTGTATTGAGTCAGCACAAATTTGCAAGGTCTGTGCTCTGGGAAGTGAGGATTGGGTAGTATTTCGGCTGCAGAGCCTTGTTGTTGTTAGGCACTTCTCTGTCCTACCAGCCAGCTCCCAAATCATTACATGCAGACTTACTATTAATTATGAAGGTTTGTCTTGTAGCTTAGGATTGTTTCTGAGTAGCTCTTATAACTTAAATTAACCCATTTCTTTTGATCTATATTCTTTTTTAATTATTTATTTATTTATTGTGTATACAATGTTCTGTCTGTGTGTATGCCTACAGGCCGGAAGAGGGCACTGGACCTCTTTACAGATGGTTGTGAGCCACCATGTGGTTGCCGGGAATTGAACTCAGGACCTTTGGAAGAGTAGGCAATGCTCTTAACCACTGAGCCATCTCTCCAGCCCCTGATCTATATTCTTTTATGAGGTTCAGTTGCCTTTACTTTGTAATGCTTGTGCTGCTTGTTCTATATTCTGACACCTGCTCTTCTTCCCAGCATCCTCTGTGCCTGGTAATCCTGTCTAGCTATTGGCCTTTCAACTTTATATTAAAGCAGTCTGAGTGACACATCTTCACAGTGTACAAAAAGATTATTTCACAATACCTTTTCCCTAATTTTTATACTTGCTTATTTATTTATTTGTGGGCATTTGTCTATGTGCTTGTGTGCACTGTACCGCTGTGCACATGTGGAAGTTAGAGGATAGCTTGTGGGAGTTGGTTTTCTTTTTCCATCTTACAGGTTCTAGGTATCAAGCTCAGTTTGTTGGTCATAGCCTCGAGTACAGTTACATACGAAGCCATGTGTATTACCTGCTTTAAAAGTCAAGAAGTATACCAAATGTGGCTTCAAAGACATTTCCTTAAAAGCTCTTTCCACTCCTTTGGAGTTGCCACTGAACTCTCCTGTGTGTTTCCTACCTTGTTGGTGGGCATTGTGAGATAGCCTCCACTCACCTTCATCTTTGGCCCGAGAGGGGCAAGTTGCCAGATCTGTGCAGGCCTTAACTTCTTAGCTTCAGAGTATCAGGCTTGGAAAATTCCAGCTCTGTGCCTTAGCTGGGCGCTCTTCTGAGCAGTGTTCACTCCTTTTCACTGCTCAGGGAACATAGCGCTGAGGCCTTTTCTAGGATTTTCTTCCCTGGCACTTTCGTGTGATTTTTTTTTTTCTTGACAAATAGCTTTTTTTTTTGGTCAGGGGTTTATATTGATGTTCATTAATAATTGCTTTCAATTAGTGAGATCTGTTGTAAAAAAATCATTTTTTTTACAATTCTGTGTGTGTTTGTACTTGATTGAGCATGTACATTTCATAGTATCCATGTGGAGCTTGGATGACAACTTGCTAGAGTAGATTAGGTTCTTTCCTATCCTGTGGTTCCAGAGAATGAACTCAGGTCTTCAGGCTTGGCAGTGTAAGCACATTTATCCACCATGCCATCTAGCTTGTCTATTAATTTATGAGCTCTGTGAGTACTAAATTATGAGCAGCCCAAATCAAAGCACTTAGTATAACTTAGTCTAGAGAAGCCAACGGGCAGCGTACCTGCATGAGGATCTCTTTTGCGGTTGCGCTTTACTGAGTATGGTCTGTTTTGGTGGGTTTGGCCTCTCGTTAGCCTTTTCTCCTTGAGGGTTTGGGACCTAGAGCTCTCTCCTCTTTGAGCCCTTGGCAAAGCCTCAACTTTTACCAACTCCCATGTACTGACTGCTGCTGGATCTTGGGCTCAGTAACAGCAGTGCACACAGCACATCCTTTTTGTTTATTTTTGGGATAGGGTTTATTTTTGTATCCTCAGTTATCTTAGAACTCACAGAAGTTCGCCTGCCTCTGCCTCCTGAGTGCTGCAATTAAAGATGTTCACCACTACTGTCTGGCTAGCACACTCTGTTGTTAATTTGTGCCCCGGGAACTGAGGTGAGGAATCACTCACTGTGTGGTGACTAGTCATCAGTCTGGCAGCCAGACATTTCATGTTAGAAAACTGTGCTAAGTGTTCACAAGTGATGACAGAAGGCAGGGCCTTCTGTGCTTCTGAACTGCTGAAGTGCTGTGCTCCTGCTTTGCTTGAGCTCAGCTTCCTTCACTGAGCTCAGATCTCCCGCCATGGCCCAGTGTCTGGTATGACCAAAGGAGTTTTGTTGTTGAGCCTGAGCTTACAGATGCAAGGACAGCATCATAAGTCTTGGTGTGAGTTGAAGTAGTGATTGTAAACGAGTTGAGCTATTAGAAATCTCTGCTGTGAATCTCGCTATGAACTTTGCAAGCTCATTACTGTCATCTGCCAGCAGGTCAGGGCCCCTCTCGTAGAACACTGGGGCTCAGGTGATTCACTGTTGGACACCCCAGTGTTAAGACCAAAAAAGAACATTACAGAGCCAGACCTTGGGCAAATGAATTCCCATACGTACCATTTCTTCCCTCATTGTCCATCCTAAAACACACAGCTTAATTGGGGATCTTATCTGATTGTTCCTAATTTTCCTCATGACAGCAATGTTGTGGAGAAGTGTGTCACTCATGCCTCACGTACAGAGCGTGCTGTACTCATCGATGAGGTGTGCACCATGAATGACGGTCCCCACAGTGCCTTATACACCATGATGAAGGATCAGTATGCCAACTATGTGGTCCAGAAGATGATCGATGTGGCTGAGCCAGGTCAGCGGAAGATTGTCATGCACAAGGTAAGCACACTGGGTGCCAGCCCAGAGTGGGAGAAGGACCAGGTGGACCGTGTTCAGATATAGCAGATAGTAGACAGTGGGCTTTTTTGTGTTGCTATACCAGACTTGTTCTGTGCTTCCTCCTCTCACTGTGTGGGATCACTATGGTCTCTCTGTGTTTGTCACTTCTTTCCTCAACTCACAGTATGGGAGTCCTGGTTCTGGTTTTTGTTTTGTTTTAAACTTTTTTCCCCCTTTTAGGGGTTTGGGTATTTGTCAGCATGGGACCCTGTGCACTGCCTGCCTGCAGTGTTTTTGACACCTGTTTAGTGTGTGATTGTGCTGTTGTGCATGTCTAGGTCACAGTGATGTGGTCAGATTTCATGACAAGTGGTCTTTACTCACATAGCCATCCTGTTGGTCTGTGAGAAGCATATTTCCTGTTTTTGAATATTGTTTTGAGGGCTGAACCCAGGCCTGGTACAGCCTAAACTAGCATTCAGCCACTAAGCCACATTTTTTGTTTGTTTATTTGTTTGGGGGGGGGGTTGGTTTGTTGACAGAGCTTCGTTGCTTAGCCCAGACTAGCCTTAAAACTATGGTCCTAATTGCTGGAATCACAGACATGCTATCACACTTGGCTGTGAGTGAGAACATATTTTTGTGAGGTAATTCCTTCCCTGGTCTTTGAGATCATCTCATCAGTTCAGGGTAGTCTACTTCCTGTGTCTCCTTTTCTTTTCTTTCTTTTTTTTTTTTTTTTTTTTTTTTTTTTTTTTTTTTTTTTTGTGTGTGTGTGTGTGTGTGTGTGTGTGTGTGTGTGTGTGTGTGTGTGTGTTCACTGATCCCATCATACTTTCCTGTAAAGGCCTGGTCTCTGCTGCTGACCCACAGTGTGGACAGGGCAGTGGAAAATGGTGCTGCCTATGGAGGAGGCCCTCACCCAACCCATGCAGAATCAAGGCCAGGGATAGTTAGACAGGAGAAAGGGAACAGAGGCCCAAAAAACTAGCTGCTGTGAGTGGGGGTTGATAGGGGAGTCATCCATGAGCCCCACAGGTAGGGAAAGCACATTGCAACTGCTTGTGCCTGGTGGTGCCAAGGCCTCTGGCCTGCACCCCTCAGCCTCTGTGCTCTGAGCTCCCCCCGCCTTCTCAGCGGAGGGGTTGCTGTTGTCTGGCAGTGATGACCCACTTGCCCTCACTGAGGACAAAGTCCGATAATGAGAATCTTTATTATGGACTCTTTCTGAGCCAGGCAGAATCCCACCAGCTCTGATTCAAACCCATTGAACTACCAGCCAGTGGTGCAGATGGTGGCAGTTGAAGGTTGGTGGAGCCCAGGGCACGTGGGGTGCATCTTGCAGTTTGTTGCATGTGGAGGTGCTAGGAGGCGATGTGGCAGTGTGTAGGAGGCGGTATGGTAGCATGTAGCAGGCAGGAGCTGGAAGCACAGCTGTTGGAAGCAAATAACTAAACCTGTGGCGATAGGCAGATCCTCAGAACTGCGTTGTCCTGGTGCTCACTGAGGGACTGTGCTCATAGGCACGGGAAAGCCAGGAAAAGCAGGGAAGAGAATAGAGTATGGTGGAGTGGTGTTTGCAGAGTGCATGGTTAGGAAGAGGCCACAGTAATGAAGACTAGGGACCTGAGAGGAGACTGTTTAATACTTTTTATATTTACTTCACTTTATGTGTGTTGCTTCAGCCTGCATGAGAAGGTCAAAAGACAGTTTATTGCTGGAGTCAATTTTTTCCTCCTTCTATGTGGGTTCAAAGCATGTCAGGCTTGGTAGCAAGTGATTTACCCATGGAGCAAACACTCAGGCCCAGGACAATTGTGCCACCACTGTAATTTGGAGTAGGGGAAGCCATGAAAACAGCTGAGCTAATATAATAGCTGGTAGCATTTTTCAGATTGAAGAGAAGTGGTCAGTGTAAGGTAGAATCAAAAGGAGAGGGAGGGCCAGGAATGTGGGTTTGTGTTAGGAGAGTGGAAAGTAGCACCTCATGCCTTACTAGTCCAAGTTAAAAATGGAGTGCAGCAAAGCTGAGGAGAGTGGGGGTGGGGTCAGGGGAGAGGGAAGGGAAGGAGTGCTCAAGGCTGGGGGTCTAGTGAGAGAAGCCCTTGTTGAGGACATGGTCCTTACCACATCTGGGGCTGCAGCACTCGTGGATCCTTTGGATAGGCAAGCTTGGGAAGGTATGTAGATTGCTACTTAGCGCCCAGACCCCTTTGTTTTCAGCCATTGTCACTGAAGGTGCCAGGAGGAGGTGTGCTTTTTCCTAGCCTGTGTTCTGTGTGAGTTCATAGCAGTTTCTAGAGCTCCTTGGCCCTTCCTTACTCTGAGCTTACACTTGGGCAGACAAACTGCTGGCCTTGTAGGCTTCAAGATGGGCTGCCACCTGTCTCCTGGCATGGTGCTCCTTGAGGTTTGTGAGCAGTGTGAATTTTTGTTGGTAACATTGTTAAAGTGCCCCTCCACCATCTTCTATTTTCTGTGTGGAAAGATTAGTAGGCAAGCAGAGGGGAGCCAGCACTGCTAAGTGCACTGCTAAGTGCATGGCCCCTGAGCTTTAAGTGAATCCCCCTCTCAAGTGAGCTGTGTGCACAGGAACAGGGCAGGGGCCACAAGAGTGCTCACAGGAGTGATCAGAGCTCTCTAGGTTGGAGGAGCACGGGTGTGGGAAGTGACTGATGCCAGTGATGTGTCACAAGTAATAGGAAGAGTGAATCTGTGGGGTGAAATACCTATACTATTCTTTATTCCTAATTTGTCTTTGGCTGAACTACAGAACCACTCTGTATCTTCTTTTTCTCAGCTGCCCTGGCATAGTGTCAATCTTCCTTCCTTTGTTTGTCTGTCTTTCCCTATTTATTTATTTACTTATTTATTTATTGGTGTATTAATGTTTCTATTGCTGTGGTAAACACAGTGACCAAAAGTATCTTGGGAAGGAAAAGATTTATTTCATCTTTAAAAACTCTTGGTCTACTCTATTATTGAAGGAATTCAGGGCAGGAACTGATACAGAGAGGCAATGGAGGAACGCTGCTTGCTGGCTTGGCTTGCTCAGCCTGATTGCTTATAGCACCCAGGACCACCTACCTGCCCAGGGGTGGTACCAGCCACAGTGGGCTGGGTCCTCCCTCATCAGTCATCAATCAACAAAATGCATCACAGTCTTGCTCACAGGCCAATCAGGTGGGGGCATTTTCTCAATCGAGGTTCCCTCTTCTAAAATAACTTTAGCTTTATCAAATTGACATAAAAACTAGCTAGCATAATCAACCCCTTGTCACCTTTACACACAATTGCATTACTTGTAAAGTGTAACCTTTCCTTTCCTGTTTATCCCCAGGAGCTCATATTAATACTAAGCTCACAATATAAAAAAAAAATCTCAGTTTTTTAAACCTCTGTGATCTTTACAAATACTTTGAAAATCTAATTTCTTTAAAATATCCAGAGTCTCTTAACTGTGGGCTCCTATAAAATCAGAATAAGTTAAATACTTTCTTATTCGGAGAGGGAAGAACCAGGGCAAAACCACAGTCCAGCAGTGTAAAGCTCAGCGTCAGACTTGTAGGACTCAATACTGGGATCCTTGGGTTCTCCAGGAGGCTTCAACAGCTATCCACAGCCCCTACAGTATATCTCCTAGGCTCAGGTTGGCTCCACTGCACAGCTGCTGCTGTTCTAGGCAGTCATCCCATGGCACTGGCATCTCCAAAATGCTAGGGTGTCTTTGTTGGGATCCACCTTTACCACTAACCCCTCCTGGGTACTCTTCAAGGATTCTGACCCTGCCACATTGGTGCCAAGTCTCAACTTCTCTCATGATTCCTTCAGTCTTCCCTGCCACTCAGCCTGCGCCTTCACCAGTGGCTTTTATCCTCATAGTGCCAAGCTTCACCTTCTCGCCATGACCCCTTTAAAACCAGTACCACCTGGAAGAGTCTTTAAACATTATCAAGGTTGTCTGCAGCATGAAGTGGACCCTATTGGCCCTTTCTGGACTCCACCTTCTGTGGAAATACTCTTGGAATATTTGAGTTCACTGGTGCTGGTCTCCTTAATCACAGCCCCAGCTAGTCAGTTGCAATGTACCAGCAAAGCAAAGGTTTCACGTTAGTGGTGAATTTGAGTGTCACTTGAATGGTCCTAATAGAGCCTTTGCTTTCCCCTGAAGCTTCACAAGCCAGGTCTTTATCACCTGGACTGTTCACAGGTTCCCACAGAAACCCACTGAGCTCTGAGCACACAATGGCTTTTCCAGCCCAGACTTTGGGTGCTACCATAAAACATTCTGTCACAGCAGTACCCCTGACCTGGTACCAATTCTGTCTGACTTAGTGTTTCTATTACTGTGGTTAAACACTATAACCAAAGCAACATGAAGAGAAAGGATTGCCTCATCTTATAGTTTGTTCACCAATCAGGGAAGTCAGGGCAGGAGCCTGGAATCAGGGGCTGATTAAGGAATCATGGAAGAGTGCTGCCTGTTGGCTTGCTCCCAGTAATTTGCTCAGCCTGCTTGCTTATAGCATGTAGGACCACCAGTGCACAAGAAAATGCACCACAGATTTGCCCACAGGCCAGTCAAGTGGGGGTATTTTCTCGATTGATGTTCCCTCGTCCAAAATGATTCTCATTTCTGTAAAGTTGACATTAAAAACTAGCCAGCACAGTTGGTCACTGTTAACTGGAAGAAACCCTGTGCCTTGGAGAACCAGGGATCAGGTGGTGAGTTTAAGTGAATGGTTCCCCAAGGAATCCCCAGCTGCCAGAACAGCTTGGATTTCTGTGTGCAGGTGCTGTTCTGCCCTGTGTGGGTTCCCTGTCCTGTGTCAATGCTTAGGGCAAGAGCTCCTGTCTTTATCTCATGGCTTCTAGCAATAAGAGGACAAAGATACCTTTGTGGGGTGAAATGTGCACCATGCAGTCCATATCTGGGAAGGTGCTGGCAACATCTGAGGCCTCTCTGGCCCGTGTAACACACACTGTCCTCTTTAGATCCGGCCACACATCGCGACGCTTCGAAAGTACACCTATGGCAAGCACATCCTGGCCAAGCTGGAGAAGTACTACATGAAGAATGGTGTGGACTTGGGGCCCATGTGTGGCCCCCCTAATGGTATCATCTGAGCAGTGCACCCATCCCCGTCCCGCTGACCTCACTGACCCTGGCAGATCCAACCAGCAACCAGAAATGCCCAGCGTAGAGTCAGAAGTGGGCAACGGTTGCTCCGGGATTACTCCCTCCTCCAAAAGGAATCAGATCCATCCGTGGAAAGGCCTTTGTAAATTTCATTTTATTACACATGTACTAATTATTTTTTTTAATTGACTAATTGCCCTGCTGTTTACTGGTGTATAGGAACTTGTACATAGGTAATCAGTGTACATGGGAGGCCACATGTTTTATGTTGTATCTATATTCCACATGTGGACACTTTCAGGGTGGTTGGTTTAACAAAAAAAAAAGTTTAAAAAAAGACAAAAAAAGGTTTTTAACTCATTTGCCTTGTGGCAAGTTTTGCAAATAGCTCTTCCCGACCTCCTCATTTTATTAAAAAAACAAAAAACAAAAAACAAAACTGAGAAATTTGAATTTTAGTTAAATGACCCCAAATTGGCATTTAACACTGTTTATAAAATATATATATATATATACATATATACATATGAAATGGGAACGTTTCAGAGTCGTTAAAGCATCAGCCTGTGACACAGAGTTCATGACATTCTTTTTGGAGATGACCTCATGCTGAGGAAGGTGGTGGCCGCAGATCCAGGTGGAAAAGGAGTCACAGAGGCCCAAGGCCAGTGGTTGGGGCCATGGGGTTGCTCTCTGTGAACACTGAGAAGCAGAATCTGACTATTTAGCATGAGTGAAAATCCAGCTCTGCTCCTGGTCTTGCTTCTATAGATACATAGTGTATACTTGTGTAGACTTTTGCATATATATGGATTTGTAGTATTTCCTGTTTTGATGTCTAATCTGTATCTATAATGTACCCTAGTAGTCGGACATCCTTTTGATTGTACAATTGTACATTTGTATACCTGTAATGTAAATGTGGAGAAGTTTGAATCAACATGAACACGTTTTTTTGGTAAGAAAAGAGAATCAGCGCCCCCCCCCCCCCCATGCACTCAGTGTATATCCACCTTTTATGGTCGTAGCAGATAGTGTTGTATATTGTAAATTGTAATTTCAACCAGAAGTAAATTTTTTTCTTTTGAAAGAATAAATGTTCTTTATACAGCCTAGTTAATGTTTAAAAAGAAAAAATAGCTTGGTTTATTTGTCAGCTAGTCAAGATGGTAGCGAGAGCCTTTCTAAATGTTACTTCAGACGATTCAGTTCACACTAGTGTTCTTTTTTTTTTTTAATCCTAAAAAATGTTTTGCTTATTTTGTGACAGTCAAGAAAGGACGTGCAGAAGTTTCGCCTGCCCTTCCCCGCTCAGCGCCTCCCTTGTAAAGTGACTCGCCCTCCGTTTTGTACAGATGAGCTGTATTTTGCATTTTGTCTACTTGTAAGTGAATGTAACATACTGTCAATCCTCGTTTGAATATAGACTGTAACACTACACGGTGTACATTTCCAGAGCCTTGTGTATATTTCCAATGAACTTTTTGCAAGCACACTTGTAACCATATGTGTATAATTAACAAACCTGTGTATGCTTATGCCTGGGCAACTATTTTTTGTAACTCTTGTGTAGATTGTCTCTAAACAATGTGTGATCTTTATTTTGAAAAAAATACAGAACTTTGGAATCTGAATTTGGTATTTGTGCTGTTCTCTCCACACCTGCTCATGGGAGCCCTGCTCCAGCCTGGCCTCGCTGTTAACCCTAGGGCGGGCAGGAAGGGTGGGGTGGTAAGCTGGGGTTGGAACTGATGGCTCCTGAGCCTGACTCAATCTGAGAGGTTGAGTTCGGTCTGCCTTGTACAAAGCCTGGCTTTCCCATGTTGTGAGACACATGCACAAGTGCACCTGGTCAGCCAGGCAGTGGTGGTGCACACCTTTAATCCCAGCACTCTTGAGGCCGAGGCAGGCGGATCTCTGAGCTCAGTGCCAACCTGGTCCACAAGAGCTAATTCCAGGACAGGCTCCAAAGCAACACAGAAAAACCCTGTCTCGACCCCCTCCTCCCCCCAAAAAAAGTACACTTGGTCAACCCAGAAAGGGTACCCACCGCAGACAAAAATAACAATTGCACCAGAATCCAGCTTGGTGAAGCAGTGAATATTTATTGAGGGGTTGGTTACTCATGAGAGCAGTCTTGAACACAGCGGCATCACCACTCGGTGACTATGCACAGAGCATGTATGGGCTCACAACCCTAAGAGGCTGAGGCAGGAGAATACAGAGTTTGAGTTTAGACTACAGTAACAAGATTGTCTCAGAAACAGAAAAACAAAACCAACTGAGCAGGTGCACAGTTACACAATCCCAGCACCTGGCACGTGGAGTTCAAGGTCTTGGCTACGTGTTGAGCCAAAGGCCAGAGTTGTGGTTGGGGAGGCTTGGTTCATGAGCGGCTGCACAGATACGGAGGTCAGAGGACAACCTTTGCTTGTCCATCCTTACAGCCTTGTTTGAGGCAGGTTTCATTTTGTCACCCGTGAGCAAGCTTCAGGAGCTTCTTGTAACTCTGACTCTCGCCACAGGGCAGCTGTGCAGGATGCCTGCTTCTGGCTTTTCATGGGCGCTGGGGATTCTAACTCATATCCTCACAGTAGGGTGACAAGCTCTCTATCCACTGAGCAGTCTCCCCAGCCTGAGACTGGTCTTAAGCAGCCAAAAACTGTTACTAAGAAGTCTATCCAGTGTATTTCATTGGACATCAACTCTGCTGGCCACAGAAGGTGGTTTTGGTATGCCCATTTGAGATGCGAAAGCTGAGGTCCCACGTTTTGACCTGACACTCAGCCCACTGCGTGAAAGCCTCTCTCTGCTGGACTGCAGGCTGTGTCCACCTCTCATCCTTGGGACAAGCAGGAGGAAGGGAGTGTAGATGTTCCAGCAGAAGAGAAGAGAAGGATTTCGTGTGCATTAATAACCAGCCAGGCTTTTATCTGGGTCTTCTGACTCCCTGGATCTAGTGCTCTGCCATTGCTTGTGTGGCCTAGCAGTTGCTATCTTTTAGAGCCGCAGAAGGGCCAGTGAAATGGCTCAGTGCTGGTAAAGGTGCTTGTACCCAACCCTGATGACTTGTTTTGATCCCCAGGACCTACATGGTGGAAGGAAGAAAACTGATTCCCTTGGGTTGACTCTGACATGCACATGTACAGATGTAAAAACGAATTACCAAAACAACAACAAAAACCCAAATTACCAGAGCTGGAGTGGTGTAAGCACTTAGGAGGGCATTTTGCTCTTCCAGAGGACCCGAGTTTAGTCTTTAGCACCTAGTTGAGAAGGCTCATTTCTGCCTGTAACTCCAGCTCAGTGGGATCTGAAGCCTCCATGGAACCCGGTGTACACCCAAAATTGAAGAGGTGGCAAAAACCCAAAAGAGTTGCAGAAAAGAATTCACCCATGACGTCAAAAGAACCTGTGACTTCTGGTGGTTACCAGCTTTGGCCACATGAGGGCGCTGCCGCCTAAAGCAAGCACTACGGTCTCCAGGACAGGATTCAAGGTCTGGCTTATCAGGACCAGAAAGCAGAGTAAGGTTTGTTTCTTCTTCACTCCTCCCCAGAAGTCCCCAGTGTCATGGCCAGACCTTCACTGCCTGGGGTGAGACCTGAAGCTCACACATCTGGAACATCCAATTGTTTTGGTTTGCTCTAAGACCCCTGTGGAGCCTCTGCCTTCTTGGGACCTCCATTTCCCCACTTGTCACCTGCTGAGGTCAGTCAGTGATAGGGCCTGAGAAGAGCAGGCCCAGGCTCAGTGGTCTAGGCCCCAACCAACTCAGCCAAGCTCTCAAACAGCTTCTCGAGTGTTTGCATAACCGGGAGCCTCAGATCCCAGCCCCGGGGTCTCCGTGCAGCTGTGTAAGCCGTCTGACAGCGTTCTCCTCCTCCAGTGGGAGTGGGAGGGCACGTGACAGCCCCTGACCCAGAGCTGGGCACAGAATTGGAAGTCAGCACTGCCTTTTCATTCCCGATTCTTTGCTAGGATGGCAGCCTGGGGCACCAAAGCGAGAAAGTGCACCTCTGCTGAGTGCCTCACTGGAGGCCCCAAGGGTCCTGCCTGGTAGTGGACTCCTAGAATCACAACCCACAGCAGAACAAACAGCAGGGAAGGGTGATTTGACTTTTGAATTTTGGATTCCTATGGAAATTGCACCTGACACTCTGTGGGCAGAATCTTCAGACACCCGGGGAAGACTGCCCTATGGGTAGGGCACCCGCTCCAGCTGTCCACTCCCTAGCCCCCCGGGGCTAGGTACCTCGGCTTGTCAGTTTCAGGCAGCGTGGCATCCAAACAGTTGGCAGCTGGCTGTGCTGGTGGTCAGATCCACCGCTGTGCTCTGAATTTCAGGACCCTACCCCAGGCCTGCCCTGTTTCCAGACCCCTCTCTCCCATCTAGGCAAGGGGGACACAACTTCCCTGGGGACACTTGAAGGCAGCTATTGCCCCTCAGTGTCCCTCCGGGATGGCTCTCCATGGCAGATTTCCGCCTCACCCAGAGCTGTGGCTCAGCAGTGGTGGGGCTCGATGACAGGATCACAGGACCCGCAATCTAGGCAGTGTTCATTCCTAACAACAGCTGTGCATGGCCCAGGCCGGGGGAGTCAGCATCCCCAGTCCTCAGCTCTTAAGCTGGGCCGAGGAGGAGCAGTGTATTTAGGAAGTTCACTTTTTTCCCTTCCATGAAAATGACTTTAAATGTGCAGTTTATTCCCAGGAACTTGGGTGTACTCTGGTGAGACCTCTGAGGTGATGTCCTTCCTCCTTCCTTCTCCCCCACTTCCTCTTTTTGCTTCTTCGCCCTCTCCCCTGCCTGGCCCCCTCATCCTGCCTTTTCTCTCTCCCTACCGTCTTAGTCTCGCCCCTACCCTCCTCTTTCCCACCTCCCCCCTCTCCCTGTTACCTTCTCTCCTTCTCCAGAGTCCTTGGGTCCCCCAAGGCAAGAAGGAAGACAGGTGTGAGCCCAGGTGAGTCTAGGCCTAGGTTCCCCACAGCCTTCCTATGACCTCGGTCAGGGTCTTGGGCAGAGGTGACCATGAGATGTGGGATAGTCTGGGAGGACCCACCAGGGTGAGGAGTGAGCCATCCAGTTCCCAGCTCAGTTAGAGGCTATGTGGCATTGTACCTGTCACCTCACTTCCTGTTCCTTTCCTTAGTGTGAAATGATATAAAGGAATTTCAAGACCAGCCGCTTTCTTCAGTGTGGACAGGACAGTTGCCATCTGGAAACAGAGCCGCGATGGCCGCGTAACACCTTCGGGAGATGGGGCCCGGCCTTGAGTTAATATAAAATGGAAGCAATACCCTGGAGTGAATGGGGCAGCACTCTTCAACAGGGTAGCGCCCCTAGACATGGAGGAGAGTAGGGGAGAATAGTGGGGTGCAGGGTCCCCTGTCCAGGAGGCTTCTGAAGATGCAGCTGCTGTGACTCACCCCTGCTATGAGTCACTCCAAGCTAGTTTCGGATAGAGCCGTTTCTGTGGTCTGTTGAGTCCTATCTGGGGCAGACAGGCACTTCAGCCTATCTCTCAAGGAAAAATACCAAAATGCTTAGTCTAGGATCGTCAGGCACAGTGACAAAGCCCCCAGGCTAGATGCTCCCTGCCTCTCCACATGCGCTGTGTTGGGATGAAGTTCCAGGCTGCTTCCGCGCACCCCTTCCCCAGCCCACCAGGAGATGCTACTACTTGGAAGTCTTCTGAGATTTTTGCAGAAGGTAGCCTCCTCCTGGCACCAAATTAGGATCTCTTCAGAGGCAAATTGCTTTAGAAACAGTACAGGTGGCAGCTCAGGTTCCCTAGTGCCAGCCTCACCCTCCCGCTCCTCTCCCCAATAGCAGGTCCTTAAGCCTGCATACTCCCGGCTGATCTGGCAGTGCTGTTGAGGAACCTGCTGGGGTCTTGAGGCTTCTACTGGCCCATCCATCCACAGCCACCCCAGACACAGAGACCACTTAGTTCAGATTCTGACTCCCTCTGTCTCCACTCTCATTATGCCCTGAGGGATGGCTGGGCTCTGGCCAACAGCCGCTGCCCACGTTGGATTTCCACATGCGGGGCAATGACCTCTGAGCATCTCCAAGTTCTGCGAAGTTGAATGTGGTTGAGTCTGGTGTAATCCTGCCAGGACCCTGTTTCAGTTCCTGTATTTGGAGGGTCACTGACTCCCCAGCCTTGTGTCACCAAGACTTTCTCAGAAGCAAATCTTGACTCAGACCTCCATCTTGACTTGGGACAAAACAGAACCTGGAGTGGAGAAGGAAGGGCTGAAAATGCAGAAATCTGTGAGACGTCCCCCACAAAGGTCACCACCCAGCACAGAGGTTATAAGCCAGGTTACAAAATAGTGACATAGTCTTTAACCTCAGCACTCAGAGGCAGAGGCAGGCAGATCTCTGTTAGCTCAAGGCCAGCCTCGACTACTTGAATTCCAGGCCAGATTGGGTTACACAGTAAGACTGTCTCAATTTTTAAATTTTTATTTTATTTTATTTTTTTTAGATTTATTTATGTTCTTCCTCCTGCATGTACTCCTCCATGCCAGAAGAGGGCACCAGACCCCATTACAGATGGTTGTGAGCCATCATGCGGTTGCTGGGAATTGAACTCAGGACCTCTGGAAGAACAGCCAGTGTTCT